CTATAGAGACATGTAGCGGCAGACGCAGACCGACTACCGTGCGTACAAAGCGAAAACGAACGAAATATTGAGCATGTCTAAGGAAAATTCTGACCCCCATGTCTGTTCTGTTGAAAAATGGCAGGAAATTTTCTTTTAGGATAACAAACATATAACCTTTCCAAAGACTCTAGGATCAGCCCATCTCTTGACAATTTAATATCGGAAATAGAGACAACGTGGCGTGTATTTGACGTGTGTAGCATGCAAAACTAACAAAATATGAAGCCTTTTTGTTTAATGTTTCCAAATATCGAAATAAAATTTTCTCTACGGGATAGTGAAATTTGCATCCTTGTCGAGTCACCCCCAGCTCGCCCATTCGGACCATTTGTCAACCTACTTCACCTCGGAGATTAAAAACTCTTCGTCGAAAAGAGACCAAGTAACGTGTGTACAATGAGGGAAACAATTTCATTTATTCGGCATTTTCCAGGATAAAGAACACAGCAACATTAAACAAAAACATATCACACAAAATACACTGAAATCACAAACACAAACTTACAAATGCCCGGAGAGGCACAGTTAATCCAATAACTGTCACCAGGTTTCACATAAACGTGCACACACATACAAAATAAAGTAGCAGCACAAGATTCAAGAAATGGCAAATAAATAAATCGAACAGAAAAATATACAGTTGGCAAAATAAGATAAATATGACATACAAATACTTTAAAATATCAAAAATAAAATTAATTACAGAAACAAATCAATCAATTAAACAATAAGTACCCCCAAAACAATGAAAGAAATTTATTGTGTAAAAACCGAAAAAAGGAAGACACCGTGAAATAACAAAATACAGTTAAATACCGACGAAAGCAAAACCATTGACACATCTGTCCCACATGGCAAATCCTAGGTATTCAAATCCCCCCATTTTGTGCTTCCTTGCACCAAACAACACAGTGACCCTCCCACAATTTGCCATTCCCAACGACCTTATTACAAGGGTAATCCACTGCAAATTCAATCAGTACTCTGTAAAGTTGATCCCGTGTTGAAGGGTTATTTAAACCACTTCAGTTCTCAAACGTTCAGGTACATGTAGGTCATCTCAAGAGCATGTAATTAATTGGCAAAATGATGAGGTTTTTAATTCGTGCCTTAAGGTTTGTCAAGCCTGATCGTTTCAATATACCACCTGTTCACTAAGACTATTTCACGGTCAAAAGCTCTATGAAGACCTCTAACAACAAAATGTAAGCAAAAGATGGGTGCTTTTAGATTCACGAAAA